TAATTTAACTAATTGTATCACTAAATATCATAGAGGGAAATGAATGCTGATACTCCATCAGCCCTCTTTTGTCTTATTACAAGCTAATATTTCAGAGCCATGGTACGCTGATGCTGGCTTTCAAGTCTTACAACAAATACGCGCCGAGCTAGCAAGACCTAAATGTGCTCTTGGGTTCATAATGGTGGGAGTTGTTGCCTTGGCTTCTTTTATTGCTTCAACAGTTACAGCTTTGGTGGCCATATCTCAAAATATTCAACATGAAAATTTTCTTAATAATTTGGCTCAGAATGCTTCCAAGGCTCTTCAAAATCAAATAAATATTGATGAAAGATTGAGACTAAGTTAAATGCCTTAGAGGCAACTGTCATAAATATTGGTAATGAACTTTTGGCTTTGARGTTCAAGGAAAGGTTTAAATGTCACACTAGCTGTAAGTCTGTGTGTGTTACTGTGGCCAAATACAATGCTTCCCAATGGGATTGGGAGAAGAATAAAAACTGTTTGTTGGGTATTTGGCAAAATATCAATAACAGCTTGGATCTCTGGGAGCTCCATTATCATATTCAAGATATACAAAAAAGAAAGATTGATTTTTCGGATCCTACTTCCTTAGCTAATCAAATATTAAAAGAATTAAGTGGCTTTAACCCTGGAAACATTCTGAAACACTCTGCGTGGTATATTCTTGTATTGTTCTTTTGCTATTAATTCTCTTTTGTATTGTGATTGTAGGATGGTGAGTCTTCAAATCAAGGATTTGGGGACTCGAAAAATGACATATCAGCTGCTCTTTCAAAGAAAAAAGGGGGAACATGTGGGGGGCTGTCACATCATGTGACCAGCATTTTCCTTCTCTGATTGGTTGAGGCCCTCTTGGTCACTTCCTATGATCTGGCCACATCAAGTGGCCCTAGAAGGTGGCCCCATCGTGGAAGTCGTAAAAATGTCACAAAATGTGTGATCATGCAGAGACGTGCCTTCCTACAGCTCAGGGGTCAAGTTACMTTACCTCTCCTTGTAACCCCGCCCCTCTTGACCTTTATTGGATGGAAATTTCTAAGGAATCAGAATCCCCTATTAAAAGACCACTCCTGAATAGGCTTGCTCTCTCTCGCCAGCCTCTTGTGACATTCCTCGCTCTCCCTTTTGGGGAGCCTGAGGCCGAGGGCAGGGAGCCCTCCCGGGGCTTAAATGAAAGGTAAATTGTGTGCCTGTGTTTTATTTGATAACTTAGGAAATTCACTCGAGSGACCCTAGTTTAGCTGCCCATGCTGGTCGGGGGCAATAGAAACCCAACTCTCAGCCTCCACGAGGAGGGGAGAGCTGATGACTTCAGGGAGAACCTCCTCCAATGAGCTCCTCGGGGGTGCCTGGCCCTGTTTCAGGTGCTGGAAGCCAACCAGCAAGGGGACCCTGACCTAGTCTTGCTCTCTGCATCCCAGTGTCTGCAGGATTCCCTGGAGCCCTGGTGTTTCAGGAGACTCTCCCCAGAGTCAACCCCATCTTATTCCAGGGTGTACCAGGGGTTAGAGTTGGGGTGTCTCCAGTAATCCTCATGCAACCAGCTGCTTCTTCTCTGTGGTAGTGGGGATGAGCTGAGGGGTGCTGTGCCCCTGAGCTACAGTCCCAGTTCTGTTTGTTTTTACTTTGAGATGGGGTCTTGCTACGTTGCTGAGGCTGGCCTGCACCTTGTGATCCTCCTGCCTCAGCCTCCTGAGTTGCTAGACTCAGGCGTGGCCCCTGCCCCTGGTTCCACCAGTGTGGTGACAGTTGTCTTCCTTGCCTTGGACGTCAGAGGCACTGGGTGCCTGCTGTCCTTGGTGTTCCCACATACTGGCCAGGGAGTTGCTGATCCTTGCGTCACCACCCTTGTCCCTTGTGGTCCAGCTCTCTGGGGCCTGATCCACCACCGAGTTTTTCCAGGTGTCTCTGCAGTCCGAGTTTTTCTGCCTGTCAGGTGCTGTTGCCCTTCTGAGCTGGGGTGGTGCAGACAGATCTCCCAGCCCACATCCTGCTCCTGAGTATTGCTCCTGGCCTGAGCTGGGGTGGTGCAGGCAGGTCTCCCCAGCCCACACCCTGCTCCCCTGGAGACCTCCTGAGTATTGCTCCTGGTGTGAGCTGGTGTGGTGCAGGCAGGTCTCCCCAGCCCAAACCCTGCTCCCCTGGAGACCTCCTGAGTGTTGATCCTGGTGTGAGCTGGTGTGGTGCAGGCAGGTCTCCCCAGCCCTCACCCTGCTCCCCTGGAGACCTCCTGAGTATTGCTCCTGGCCTGAGCTGGGGTGGTGCAGGCTGGTCTCCCCAGCCTTAACCCTGCTCCCCTGGAGACCTCCTGAGTATTGTTCCTGGTGTGAGCTGGGGTGGTACAGGCAGGTCTCCCCAGCCCTCACCCTGCTCCCCTGGAGACCTCCT